ATAATCTCATATAACGTGCAACATGAAGAATGCCGCTAAAGTTTGTTTCGTGTGTGTACACAAATTCTGACGTAATTCACTAACGACCTGTTCCTTATCCGTTAAGTGTCGAGCCAGGTAGGAAGAGGGGGGAAGGTAGTGTTTGCTGAAAAATGGGTCGTGTAAACAAACGGATGGGTACCGCAAGAGAATAAATCGAGGTACAATAATGAATGAAGAGGATCGCCTAGAATCTTACTGGCAAATATAATACAAGGGTTGATGTGACTATTTTTAGGTTCCGTCATTAGTGAATCAGTTGAGCTCAGTGTTATAACTGTCTCTGTCACCGGACGACGATGAATAATTTTTGATTCTTATTTTGCAAGGTCGAGAAACACTAAATGGATGCAGGAAAGTAGAAATGGTGCACGAAATAAGACCAAATGGGGTTCGGAATTGCGTGAGTTTGCATCGGCATGCTTGTGGTCGTGTGCAGGTGATAGGATCGAAGGATCGTTAATGAAAGCGGAAAATGCGATAAAGAAATAGAACAGCACCTTGGAACATATCAGAAAGGTTTTGATGTACTCCTGTCCGATTTGGTGCATTGGATCCTTTCTGTGAAACAATCATGCGAACATCTGTCTTGGTGTGCCAGAATACTGAAGTTTGAAAAGATGATGCGGTCGCGAAACGGAGTCGAACGCAGACGAATAGGGAATCAAAACACAACGTACAGATTTAAGTGAATTACACAATAACTGATAAACTGGATAAGAGTAGACAGTGTTTATTTGGGCCCGTTAGGTCTGTAGGCAAACTGGAACATTTTGGCAACTGTCTGCAAGCGACTCAGGATGACCTTTCCAGTCAGGACGAAACTGTTTCGCAAGAACAGTTGGGGACGAGGCATGTGAGTTTAGAACTATGGAATCCGGAATCGACCGGGAGGATAGATACTCATTAATGAGCAGTGTCGTCGCATTGATTAGGGGAACTGTTCCAAATTTAAGATGCATCGAGGGGAGTCCATCAGGGTATGAAGGTGAAGATACCTTGGAGGACCATAAAAGCCCGTGATTTCACCATTAGGATATGGCACCAAATCGGACGCATTGCACGGCCCCCAAAAGATTGCGGTTTCCCGCTGCTCTGTGGGTCGGACTTTGGTTAGCCGAAGGATCTGGTTGTGAACTCCCTAACAAAATTCAACTGCTTTAAAAGATTCTTTTCTACTTCCTTTTTTGTTTATTGAATATACAAATGCACGGTCAACTTTCAGGAAGAGGGCACTGGCCATACAAAGACTGCTAAGGAAATTATATTATATTTCACACTTGTCAGAGGACAAACTGTGTGCCAGGCAAATCATGGTACAGTAATGTTTATGAAAAAGAAAAAAAACGCTCCATGATTAGCTTGTGAACTGAAAACTGTCAGGTTGCCCGGGTCAAGGCAGGTGAATTTTCTTGAAGAGTTCACAACCGAAGACTTCGGCTAACCGAGGCCTGACCCGCAACGCAACGGGGCGGTTTGTGAAAACCGCAGTCCATTGAGGACCGGCGTCCGTCCAGTTCATCGGATCATTCGCCATTTGGACGGGGTCAAACGTCCGAGATGCCCAATATACCTCGATCCCAATCGAGTCGGTGACCACTGCCACAACCAGGAAGGTATGTGTGTAGTTTGTACGCATCTCCTTGGTTGGTTTGGAATCGGTTTTCGGCAAGCTTCCTCCAAGGTGAACTGACAGTGATCCGCCAACCCGATTATAGCCGCCCCCCCGATGTCGGTTTTTCGTCCTCTCACTTTGATGGGAAAGTACCTCCGCCCCACGAGAAGGCGGTGAGTATGGCTTCCTCAACAGAGGCTATTCGAGGCTATTCGGGTCACAATTCGGTGACAACCACTTGGTCTGGGTAACGAAGGTGTATTCCACCCACAAGCAAATCATGGAAAGTTTTTCTGCTATAAAAAGTGTTGTATTTGTTTGGCACATAGTCCGACCTCAGATGTGTGTGAAAAACATTGCACGGGAAGGAGGGAATCTGACTTTCATTTGACGAGTGTATAAGGACAGCTTCGAGATTATTGGCGTCCACCGGAGTATTCGAGTGTTTTCTGTTCTGCTCGCAGAGAAGACGAATACTTTGCCATAAAGCCAGGTGTTGTGTCTGTGCAACGAAGGGTGCAATCAAATATGTTATCTGGGACTTGATTAAATCGCACTAGTGCTTTACAACTGGTGCATGGCGAGATTTATCTATTTGTTTATTTCTTTATTGTTGCCTTCTCAGTAATTCCAAAGGATGAGGGTAATTATAGCGTTGCAGACAAACAGAGAATTTATGGGCTAACGCAAGATCGGTTTAACCTTTTCAGTGAACAGACTGACACATTTAAATAGCGATGGACAAGGATCAAACCAAAACTGAACGATCGCAGTAGAGCGTTTGAGAGGAGCGATGCGGTTGGGTGAAAATTTCCTCAGATGAAATTTTATCCATGTGCCTGTTTGTTTTAAGTCAGTGACTGAGAAGATTAAACCAAATGTTAACATCTCACGACCTTTGTCTACTTTCTGTTTTGATGAAATTGTATATTTAGAACATAGAAATGTTTGATGGGCAGTGTGAGAGTATTCCTTTGGTCGGTAACTGGTGGCAACCGGGACCATTGGTTTGTGTAAGAGAATAAGTTGGAATGGTTTGTGGTCTCAGCACAGAACTACCTCTGGCAGGATAGTGAAACAGGTCAGATAATGTCGCAGTCATCTTGGCTGGAGGATTGCAAGTCAGTGCAGTCTACCATCCGGCCCACCTGCTATGTTTGATCCAAACACAATTTTGAGCCTCTCCAAACACGTGACTTGTAGGACGCACAGAATTCACAGTTTTCAGTTGGAGCATGTCCGGACGAGAAGGGTCGTAGGTATGCTTTGCATTGAAATAGTGATAACTCAAACGTGACAACGAGGACGAGAGTTTAATGCAGCCAATCAAAGGGTGCAAAGTAACACTCAGAAGAAATTCTGTCTGACTGTTTCCACTCAGAAATTTCGTCCTACGAAGGATGCTACGTGTTCCACAACCACCCAACTTTGACGGTAGGTTTGCTGCTCCAAGTCCCTGGGTTTAGGTCACAGGTATCAATACAAGTGTGTAATATCATCCCACCCAGCAAATCAACTACTTCTACCTCTGTTTCGTTTAGGCTGTACTTGGTTGAATCGTTCTTGTTTTTCACTCCCCAGCGAAACGCAGTGGAAATACCTTACTACATTTAGAGACTATAACTTGGTATCACTCAATCCAATCAAATTTGACCTATCTACCTCTTTCCTCTCCTGCCCCCCCCCCCCTCCC